CATCACCGCAGCCTCCCGCACGCCGTCTGGTCTCATCACGGTGTCTGTCACATCAGCTCTGTGACCTCTGCCGCACCTCTGTCACCACCGCCACGCACCCGCCGTCGCGCACCCGCCGTCTCCATCCCACCTCCCTGACCACTTACGTGTCCGCCGCAACGCCACCCTCTCCATCTCCCCTCTGCCACCGCTGTCACACACCTCTGCCAGCTCCATGGCCTCCGTCATGACTCCCAACACCTCCATCACACCTCCGTCCCCTCCTTCACACATCCGTCCCCTCCTTCACACCTCCGTCACCCTTCCGTCCCCTCCTTCACCCTCCGTCCAGCTCACCGGCAGCGGCACGGACGCGTTTTGTCTCCTCAACTCCGTTAAAATCGGCTTTTCCCCCCTCCCAAGCCAGAGGCTTTTTCGCTCGTTACTCGGAGGAAGGAGCGGGTGGCGGGGTGCCTGCGCCGGCTGAGCTTCCCGAGCTAAACGACAGGCTGTGCCGGGGGACGCTCATTAAAAACGGAATCGTTACGACAGCCGTCGGTAACGAGACCGCGAAGGTGAGCCAGGTGACGGCGGGGGGGAGGGGCCCCCCCAAAAAGAGCAGCCTTTCCGTGGCACAGCCACAAAAGTAGAATTACCTCCCCGGCACGCGGCGCGTGGCAGTTTATGGGTGGCCATTAAAAAGGCCGCTGAATTATTAATCTCTCCTTTATGTCCCGCGGATGGGTGGAGTCAAATATTAACCTTTCTTCACTTAATTTGGATTTTCTCCCTCCACGGTGCGAGAGGAGAGCTCGTGCTGCAGAGCACCCTGGGGCAGGGATTTGGGGAGGAGCACAATTTTCAGCAGAAGAATGAATTTTTGCCAAGATTCCTGACATTATACCCCCATTTGAGGGTTTAGCTAAATATTTGTGCCTGGTGAAAAGATGCCCGTTGGGGCAAGAGTGGTTTTCCTGGAAACTCCCGAGGGCTGGTCCCAGCAGGGATGCCACTTCAGGTAAGCACAGACCCCAATTTTCCATGAACTCCTTTATTATTTGCATGGCAATTTAATGTTTAGTGCCTTTTTTAAAGGCAAGTCATGCAAAGCCTGGGGAAATAACTGTGCTCTGAGCTGGGGAAGCCGGGAGCAGGCAATGGCCTGAAGCATCCTTCTGCGGTTCACCTTCCTGGTGGTTCTGAAAGGCTATTTTCAAGCTACTGATTCCTTTTTTTTTAAGGGTGGAAGAGCAAGTCCTGATTTTTAGTGGAATCCTGAACTGAGATCGAGCTCGGCATCACCTTTCTGCAAATCCCAGCTGAGGCTTTTAAGCTTCTCTACCTGCACAGGGAAAGAAACGGAGCCGGCACCCACAAGGACTAAAAACTTCCCCTAATGTCGCAGCCCCCACACTAAAGCAACAGGCAGCTCATGTCCCTATAGAAAAAACCCTGATCCAACGTATCCAAGTCAGCTTTTTAAGAATGATAGAAGTGTGGTTTGTTCTTTCTTTGGGGATTCCTCCCCCCCCGGAAAAAAAAATCTTCTTCCAGTGGAATAAGACCAGCCAGAACAAAGCGAGAAACTTAAACTTTCATATAAGTATTTATTGGGTTAGAAATACTGTGCAGTTTCTATCCCAGCGTACGGATGCATTCCACGCAGGTACAAACCAGAAGGAATCGCTTCTCCGTTTGCCGTGAAAATTCACCTTCACGCCGGCTAAAGCGGACTGCGACGTAAGGCAGCTCCTGCAGTCCTCAAACCCTTGCTCCTTCTACTAGTCTGAACATACCAACCTATTGCTTGCTAAAAAAAAAAAAAACCTAGTTAAAAAAAAAGCAGCAAATACATAATCTGAAAGCCAGAAGTGTTCTACTGTGCCTCTTACTGCTCCTTGTCCCTTTTTCACAGCGCTTGGATATTTTCCAGGAGGCTTTTTGTTATGGATTTAGCGAATATCTCAATTTGCGAGCAGCGCTACTTATGGATATATACATTTAATGGGGTGTTTTTCTAGTAGGCTGTCACAAGGATCGGTAGAAACGCTCAGGGAAAAAAAAGCAGCAAATACATAATCTGAAAGCCAGAAGTGTTCTACTGTGCCTCTTACTGCTCCTTGTCCCTTTTTCACAGCGCTTGGATATTTTCCAGGAGGCTTTTTGTTATGGATTTAGCGAATATCTCAATTTGCGAGCAGCGCTACTTATGGATATATACATTTAATGGGGTGTTTTTCTAGTAGGCTGTCACAAGGATCGGTAGAAACGCTCAGGGATCCATTTCATGAATTTACATTCGGGGAATTTAGCTGCGTGAGGGTCCACTCGAGACGGGTGCTGGCGCAGGTCCGGCCCCCGCACCGCCTCGAGAGCCCTT